CCTCTCCCTTGCTGCACTCCAGCACTCTTCTTCAGCAACTCTAGTCAAATTGTGGTTGTTTCTTCTTTTTTTTTTTTGGTTCTTTGTGGGGAGAGGGATTACCACTAGGCATCTTGAGTCAGCCATTCTGCTCAAGGATCCAATATTTGTTTTTAGGCTCCCCAATAAAGAGATGTATTCTATAAAGCTGATAATTCTTTGAATGGTGGCCACCTCTAAAGAAAAACTAACTATTCTAATGCTCTATAGTTCAAAGTCCTAAATAGTTTAACTGAGTGCCTATTTGAACATTTGATCCCATTCAAATTTACTTCTTGTTGAAAATCTGGTCACACCTATACCTTCTCATGTAGTCCACGAGTAAAAAGAAAAGTCGAGATGTAGAGAAGAAAGGGAACTGGAATTTATCAAACACCTAGCACGTGCCAGACACATTATATTATTTTGTTTAGTTCTTCATGAAGAATTTCATAAAGTAAGAATTACTGTCTTTATTATACTGAGGAAAGAAAAAAAGGGTCAGTGATGTTAAGCAACTTACTGAAGAGAATACAGTTAGTAAGTGGAAGAGCTGGAATTCAAACCTCAGTTTGACAATCCAAATCCTCAATTATTTCCAGTAAATCAGAGGCTTCAAATATTTTGATCTTGACTCACAGGAAGGAGTGCATTTTTACTTCACAATCCAGTATACAAATAAATATATATATATATAATTTAATAAGTGCATCATCAACCAATATTGACACTTAAAATGTGCACAGATCTCTGCTACTTCTTGTTCTAGTCTTTAAGTTTAAAAATTGATAGTCCCAGTCAACAAAATCATTGTCACAACCCACTAATGAATCATTACTTGATTCGCAAAAGGTTTTTATATCTCAGTAATGACTAAAAAGTAAAAATCACTGTACTAAATCACAGTGTTTGTCTCTCAAATTAAGATGATTGCAATTTAGGAAAGAACATTAGTTATGGTCCTCAGTTATTATAAAATCTTGTCAGCCTTGCCATTTGCACACCTGCTTTGTGAAAGCACAAAAAGAGAACAAAGATAACAATTTTATATGTATATCAGAGGTCATCAAATGCTATTTTAAGACACCTGATAAGTGAGATAACTATGAAGAGCATGTTATAAGTGTTTTATATATTTATCTAACTTTCATAAAAACTCTATGATGTAGAAAATATTGTTACTCCCATTTTACAGATAAAAAACAGGCAGAGAAAGCAAATCATGGTTTGCCCAAGATTGTACAACAAGGATATAAAGCTGAGATGGGATTCGGGCCCAGGTGATATGGCTCCAGGGTTCTACCCTTTTTTTTTTTTTTTTGAGTTGGCATCTCACTCTGTTGCCCAGACTGGAGTGCAGTGGCTGCTCCTGGCCACTGCAGCTTCGACCTGCTGGGCTCCGGCAATCCTTCCGCCTCAGCCTTCTGAGTAGCTGGAATTACAGGCATGTGCTACCCCGCCCGGCTGATTTTTTGATTTATTGTAGAGATGAGGTCTCGCCAAGTTGCCCAGGCGGGTCTCGAACTCGCGGGCTCAGGCATTCCACTCACCTCAGCCTCCCAAAGCGCAGGATTACAGACTGAGCCACCGAGCCTGGCTTGGAGTTCTACTCTTAATCACTATGCTGACTGCCATTCATCAGGAGACTTCACACATGGGTCACATTAATTTCTCAGAAAAAACAACCTCAATAGAATTGACTTAACATTTAACTTCTGACTTTTTAATCATGGACTATCCATGTAAAGAAGTCTCATATCTTTAATAAAACTGCTCTGAAAACGTTTTATTAATTATATTGTGACTGTTCCCTATTTAAGAGAAAATCTGATCTCTCCAGATCTAATACATACTGTATTTGATTTATTTCATTAGAAAATAAAAGGTATGTAACATCCTAATTCCATTTTTTTGGTCAGAGTTTACTTTACCTTTGCCCCAGAGCTGAACTATGCATTTATCTAATGATGCATTAATCTAACAGGTAACTCTTCACCACTATACTTTTCTATTTACCTGCTTATCTTCTTATTCTTTGCATTTAGTAATACCAAGCTAGGAACTGAACAATTAGAAGAGAGACAGGTATCTCCCATGCTTTTATTGAACTGAATATTTAATAGAAGTGGCATATATTCAATAAATAATTTCATTATTAATAATATGTATAACTTCTAAAAAGAAAAAGTATTGCATGCTTTACAGGGTAGTACTGGGGGACCTAATCTAGCCAATGAGGCTGGAATATCCTGAAAGTGGCAACATTTATGCTTAGTTATAAAGGATAATAGGAAATCCACTTTGAATGATTTCTAGGCAAAGAGAAGAAAATGTAGAATGCCTTGAGAAGGAAAGGATGGCTTTTTAATAAAATTTGGTAATCTGCCAACAGGAACTGACATAAAACATTCTGTTGGCATCTGCCAAGATACCTGACAGGGACAGGGAAAACTGCTTACTTAATAGATGATGATTCTGCTCTATGTGGGAGAAGTAAGTGCAGTAGTTCTCAATTTTGGTTGAACATTAGAATCTGGGAAGCTCCGGCAAGGAAAGAGGCCATGGAGTGAGAGAGAGGAAGAATATGTTTAATTTACTAAATTTCCTATCTCAGGTGAAAAAAAGAAATTAGAAAACTAGAAAAGACTGTTGTAAGAGGGTGATCCTATTGATTTATTAAACAGTCTAGTCGTGCATTGTTTAACCAAAAAGATACATTCTGACATTCTGAGAAATGCATCGCTGGGTGATTTTGTCATTGTGAAAACATTATAGTGCACAAACACAAACCTAGATAGTGAAGCCTACTACACACCTAGGATATATGGTATAGCCTAATTCTCCTAGAATACAAGTCTGGGTGGCATGTTACTGTACTAAATACCATAGGCAATAACAACAGTCATATTTGTTTATCTAAACAAAAAAAAGGTGCAGTAGAAATACAGTACCCTAACCTTATGAAACCATCATTGTATATATGGTTCACTGTTGATCTCAACATTGTTATGTGGTGCATGACTATATCTACAACTGCCTACAAAAGAGTAGAACACCTTAAAATTTCAATTCTAATCCTGTAAGGAAATATGTTACTGCCATATTGAAGAAACCTGAACACAATAATATTAGCATTATATAGGAGTGAAAACTGGAAAAGAGGGGGAAAAAAAATCCTGAACTTTTGCTTTTCGTTGTCAATCAGTAGTTGTTAAAATGAAGAGACAGGAATTCAGAATATAAACAGCACTGTTAATTTAAATGTTTAAGCAATTCATTTTATGTTGTACTCAAAAAATTTTTTTCTGGTTTCCTTTCTTTTTTTCCTTTTGGTGCTACCATGATTTTCCAATTTTAATTCCTTTGCTATAGGAAAAATGTAACAAAAATCAATTGGTGGCAGGAGGTTTCCTAATAAAAAATAGTTTCTCAATCATCTTTTAGAGAATTTATTACGTACCAGGCACTGCATGAAGTGTTTTGCATACATATCATCTCACTTAATTCATCACAGCTACATTTTGACTTATTATACATCTATGTCATAAATCTTTGACACTGGAGCACCAAAAAAGTCAAATAACTATGCCAAAGGTCATACAATGAGGGATGCCACAGTCAATTAAACAGATGCTCTACCTCTTAGGGTTCATTTAATCGAATATCTGAACACAGAATATCCGTTAGATCGCAACAACAGACTGAAATAAAAGTGTATCTATTAGATCTCAACAAAGTGTATAAAAAATGAAGAATATATTAGCAATCTTATTGTTTTTAGCCTAGTGCCTCTCCTCTAATGAGAGTAGAGCTAAGTTGAATTAGATTGGGAGAAGAGATTAAAAAGGGAGTGGGCCAGTTCTAATAATCAGTAGGTATGAGCTGGTATATAAAATATAAAGTGGTTCTACACTTGAGAGAACATGAGAATCACCTACAGGTCCAGTTAAAACACAGATTGCTGAGCCCCAGCCCCAGAGTATCTAATTCAGTAGGTCTAGGGTGAAAACTGAGAATCTGCATTTCTATTTATTTTATTTATTTATTTCATTTTAAAAATTTTAAAGATGTGGGGTACAACTCAGGGTTCTGTACATATGCGGTCATTATACAGGTAAAGTTTGGATACAAGTTCTCATTTAATGCTGTTTGCCCAGGGACTGCAATTTAAGAAACCCTGCATTATATTACATAAATTCACTCTTTTACATAGCAATAGTAAATAAAAACAAATACCTTTCCTGGGGAACTAGAACATAAGTAAATCTTTAACCTTTGGAGGTTAAAGAGATGTGGAATTTTCCAAGAAGCATTTTAAGTTTTTTCCTTTAATATACATATATACATATTTTTTAAAATTTTATTTTATTTTAGAGTTGTAGGGTACAGGTCAGAATTGTGCACATAAGTGGTTTATACATACAAAAATATATGTAAGATATATAAATTCTAAAAGCCATCTAATTTTCATATCTAATTCATTTAGTGACAATGTCTTTCCAATACAATTGACAAATTTCCTTTAATATTAAAGACTGTATTTATGTTTGTAATCACCAAATAATCATGATGAGACTTAATTTCTGAAGAACACATAAAACTGTCATAATTAACACATATGGTATAAATAAATAGGTTAAATTTTAAATCTTATTTTCTTCATTGTTCATTCCACAATTATCACCAATGAATAAACACTATTGTTACTGAAGACTAACCTAAAGAATATATGAAATTTAACAGGAAAAATAACTCAAACCTTCTAAGATATAGAGTAAAACTACTAAAGATAGAGAGAACACAAAGAGTTATTTTACCTTAAATTTACCAATTTTAGTTCTTTTGTCAAACAAAGAAAGCATAAAACTTAATACTGAGATAGACAATTCTAAAGTAGGCCTTCAAGATTAATGATAAAATAGCCTTCCATGCTATTTGAGGAATTACATACAATAAATATTGGCAATGAAGTAAAATCTTACCCAGATCTAGTCGTTTTGAATTCCACCTTGAGGATAGGTTTGCATGGTTCTGGCTTCTTCCCATCCTTTAACTGTTTTCCTAAAATATATTTTCCTGCATTAAATTCTAAAATTCTAAGTTACTCTAAGTTCTTACATCGATAGTTTATAAAATGAAACCCACCATAAAACATTTAAAAGTGAATTTAAAAGAAGTATTTAATATACAGTAAGATATTCTTAAATGATTAAGTACAGTTACTGTTTGAAATTCAGTGCTGAAAAGCAAATAAAATGAATAACTCATTAACAACATGTGATAAAATTCTAGTAGGAGAAATGGATAGTCTTGCCAATGTTCTTAATTGCATATGCGCAAAATTGAATTTCAAGTTGCTAAATGAATTCATTTTAAAATCACAAGATTCTAGAAAAATAAATCTGTATCAAATTTATACCCACGTGACAGGCTGCAAAATTAAACCTATGTTAATAAAATCATTATGTTTATTCTCCTAAAGTAAAATCCCTCCATTGTAACATCCAAAAGAATGCTAACATACACAAAACTCTATAAACTGTCAGACTCAATTTTTCAAGGTAATTTGATTATTTTAAAAAATGTTTGTTGATATCAGATATCTATTTTCATAAGCTCACAGCAGAAACTATAGAAAACTCAAAAAAAGAAAGAAAGAAAGAAAGAAAATAACCCCAACACCTCTTATCCCCCTTCCTAGCTTTATTTTTTCTCCACAGCACTCATCACAGTTTAGTACAGTTTAGAATTAACTTGTTTCTTGTTTACCTAATAGGTAAGAATGTAAATTCTAGGAAAGAAAGATTTTTGGTGTGTTTTCTGTTGTTAGTCACCCCAGGTGACTAACATTGTTTGACATACAGTGGGTACTCAATTTCATTAGTGAATAAATCAATGATTATTTCCTTAAGATAAACTCAGAAAAAGTATATCTGGATAAAACCGTATTCCAGAAAGATTATGTCAATGTATATATCCATCAGCATTGTCAGAATATTTTATCACACCTTCATCAATACTTATTTCTTTTTTCCTTTTGCTGATTTGCTAAATAACAAGGGTACCTCATTTTAATTTGTATTACTTTGATCCCTAACATGTCATGCATGCTTCTTCTTTTGAAAATAGCTTGTTGTCCTTTACTAATGTTCCTATGTTATCTTTCTTGTACTCTAAATTTTATATTCAAAGCTCATAAGCATTATGTCCATCATGTATGTCACAAACATTTTCTTTAGTGTCACTTGTCATTTAATTCTTACAAATTTTTAAAAAATGTACAGAAGTACACATTTAAATAACAGTCTATCAGTCTTATGCTGTTTCCAGTTTAAAAAGCATGAAATCCTAAAACATCAATTTCTCCAAAATTTATCTATAAATTTAATGTAATTTGCATCTTAAGAGCTTTTCTTGAATTTTGACAAAATGACAAAGTTCACATGGTAGACTAAATGCCTATGAACAGCTAAGGAAACTACCAAAGGAGATCAACTTCCAAAATGATAGAGCAAGGACCTCAGTGAATTTGTTCTCCCACAGAAATGAAAATATTAGCAAAACAAATAAAGTTAAACAATTTAGAACTCTGGAGGAAAACCATAGCCACTAGTAAGATGAAAAATCATCTACTTAATAGAAATTACTGAACCTTGAAGATGAGTGGTAGGGAGAACAAGAGGCTAAAGATATTTTTAAAGAAGGCCTTTTTCTATCCCCTCACTCCCCAGTTCAGTGGCACAGTAGTCATGAAAATGCACTACTACCAGCCAAGAAAGAGGTCTGATGTTCTTTTGGAGCTCTGTTAAAACTGCTTTTCCTAAAGCATAATTAATATTTTGTGTGAACTTGCAGTTCCCTGGAAATCTCTATTTCCAAAGTGCTGTGGCTATTTTATTTGACACAGACCTCGAATAATGATGACAGAAATCATTAACCTCTGCGCATTCCAGAAATAATAGCAATAGCAATCTGTTGGCAATATAAACTGTCTAAGCCTGTGGTTTCAGTTGAGGCAAATGAAGCTTGGGAAGGAATTTTTAAAAATAAATTTAAAAAATTCTTTTTAAATCTCACAGAACTAGACACATTCTTGGGGATCTAAAATGTTGCATGTGTGTGTAAGACTGTGTACATGCCGAAGGAAGACTTAGGAAAGAAGATGACTCTAGTCACTCATCTTTGGCTGACTTTGAGATCCTGAGCAAAGAGGAAGTGAAAAAAAAGTAAAATGGTGAAAAGTAAAATGAGAACAACACCTATTACTGGCAAAGACATTGGAAAAAAGATACTCATATAGCTGGTAGAAACCTGAAGGATAAAGCCTTCTTGAAATAGAGTTTAAGAACATTTATTAAATAAAAATCAATAAAACTTCCATTTTTTTTAGAAACAGCAATTGTACTCATAAGCATTTATTCTACAGAAACAAAAGGACCAATTCATACAGAATATGTACAAGGATGGTAACTGAAGTATAATTTGCAGTGATTAAAAACAGAAACAAAGTGAATGTCCATTAATTTGGAAAAGCTGCATAAGTTATGATACAAACAACTAGCTATAATAACACAGCCACTAAGATGAAAGAATTAGAAGTATGGTAGAAGACTTGGAGAAATTACCCTACAGTACTGTGGATTAAGAAAAATAAGATGCGAAAAATACTAATATCCTAATTTTTATAAAACAATGATCATAAAAAACTTTATATTTATTTGTGTGTATATGTGTTAAAATAAGGGGGACCTCCCCCCAAAACTCAGACTTTATAAAAATTGTGTATTCTTATATGTTTAAACTCTAGTCACCCTCAAAGTACTCTCTGCTTGATGCAGTACACCTATCAATATACTTTTTCCACTGCTCAGAAGTTTCTGAACTGGTCAATTTTGATGCCTTTTGGTGCTTCTGTCATTTTTTGGTTTGTTTTCACCTTTTCCACATAGGCAAAACGTATCACTTTGAGAACTTTTTTCATATGGGGGAAACAAAACAAAGTTGTTTGGGGCAAGATTGGGTGAATAGGGAGGGTGGGGACAGGGGTCATGCCGTTTTTGGCCAAAACAGCTGACCTCAGTGCAATGTGGGCAAGTGCACTCATAAATCACCCATCGTGAAAACGGTAAGCACACTGAAAAACATTTCAAAAAAATTCACTGAAGCTGAATGCAGCCTCTCACAATGACACTAGCTGGTATACTGATGCTGATGGGTTCCTAGAATACTTACCTAGCGGTAGAAGCCTGCACTACAAGGGGCTTGCCTCCAAAAAAATTTTTGGGCGCCCCACTCATATATATGATTTTAGAAATATATACATTTTGCAAGAACATCAGAAAGATTTTTGAAATGGCTTATCTGGTGAGGTTGGAAAAAGGACTGGGTTACTAACACGGGGAAAGGCTGAGGGAAAAGGAACTGGTGTAATATCCCATTTATGTATAATGAAATCTGTTTATGAAAAAAACATCCTTTTGTCATCCCCTTTTTTGGTTTTATGCTTAGAAAGTTTTATAGTTTCATTAATTACATTTAAGTATTTCCTGATGTATATTTTGGTATATGGAAAGTACTTTTCATCTAATAATTATAAGCTATAAGTCATCTGAGTGCTATTTTTATAGCTTTATTGAGTTATATCTGCCAGATAACAAAGTGCACATACTTAAAATATGCAATTTGAGGAGTTTTGACACAAGCATATACATGCCAGCACTATTTACTGAACCATCATTCTTTTCCTCTGACATGAAATGGCACCTATACTACATTAGCTTTTTATAGATACAGATCTGCAAACTTGCAATGGAACATCTAATTCTGTCTAAGGATGCTAGATCATCCTTTTCCCCTCCTTATAAAGAAAAGATAGTGCAGAGAATCTTGAATCTCTGGCACCCCAATTTACAAGAACCAAGAAGCAATTAGCAATAGAGTTGACCAAAGAACTAGAAAGGACTGGCAGGGAAAAGGACTGGATTGTTGAGGTGGGAGAGGGAATTGGGGGGAAAGGGGGAAGTATAGAAAAAGGAAAGCTTAAATCTGAAAAGCAGAAGTCCCCTGCGCTGTACAAGGAACAAATTAAGAAATTCAACCTCTAAAGAATTTACATGTTTGCACTGAAGAAGGTGAGCAAGCCTTTCTCCTCCTTCTATTACCCAAGGCTCTAGTGGGAGTGTCAGACTGATTCAATTTGGGATTATAGATTCAATTTTTACATTTTTAAAAAAATGTTTGTCTTATGAAGGAAAACAATTATGCAGGCATAAATCCTTTAACTTATTTCAATATTTACCGCCAATCTTCCAGTGGCTGGAACAATTTATAAAGGACACTGGATGGTTACAAAACTTTTGCCAGTCTGATTTGTATATAAGTATCTTGCAAAAAATCTAGCTAGGTACAAAATTCTGAACTTTCTTCTTGCTCAATGGTCTTTTGATATTGCTTTACTGTGTTTTAGCATTAAGACCGTAAGTATAAAGCCAATCTGACTTTTATACCTTTATACGTTATCTTCTTTTTCTACACCTGAGTATACGCTAACAGAGTAGTTTCAATATCTCTAGATAAAAATGTTGCAGTTTTTATAGTGATTATTCTTTACTAATTTTACTTGAAAACCAATGAATCCTTTGATCTGCAGATTCTGATATTTTTCCACCTCAGGTATTTCAAATGATGTCATGAAATACCACTACTGGCCCAGAGAGGTTAATTTATTCATTTATAATTCTAGGGTTATCACTTTCTAAATCAAAGCCAGTAAGAAGGTACTAGCTATGATTTTATAATGCACACATACCACATACATTTAAAAGAATACATTTAGAGGATTTCACCACTAGGTGTCATTTTACTTCTTAAGTACTATGCCATTAGAGGAGCAAAAATATGTGCTTGTTCTTTTAACTACCTGCAAACTGCCTTGACCAGTCTTTAAAAAGAGCTGATTAATTATAGCAACTGACTTAACAAATCACATCAATTTCCATGTCATATCTGATTTCTTCTTGTGTTTCACTATACCCTGCTTCTTCACCCTACAAATCACCAAG